AAAATCTTCTACTTTTTCATCACTTATATAAGACAAATTAATGAATGATGAATAGGGAAAGCAGAAGACCACCTTCTTGACTGTGACTTGTAGAAATAATTAAGGAGTTGCATAAACTGAAAAAGTTTTTGTGTCTCTAGAGAAACTACAGTAACCCAGCTACCCAGCAGTGTTACATGCCACAGGTACTCAATAAATGTTTACTAAGTGATAGAAATGAATAGGCTTCATGTTTATATTTCTGTAACAATATCCTGAACACCACAGTATGACTTTTTCAAATATTTAACTTCAGCACCAATCTTTCAAAAAAAAAAATTCTATAAAAGCTCAAGTGAAACAAAGGCCTTTCTGTAGACCTCAAAACTGTATCAGAAATTCCATAATTCTATTTAATGTTTTAAGTTCATGTGGTTAACTGAATGATATTTTCTTTATTGATCTATTAGCATAGCAAATAAATGCATCTCCCAAGACTAGACTAAGAAGTAGAGAGCTAGGAAATCAAATGAAAAATCCTATAGAAAGTCCTAATTAAATCTACTGAGTATTTCTTTTAGTTCATTCCTGCCAAGAGACAGAAGGTTTGGGGATGAGGTTTAAAACTCCTTCTATATGTAGATTTTGACTCTGGAGAATAATTAACCAGCACTTTATTCAGTGTCAACAAAGGTCTGCCTTAGATAATGCCTCCAATTTATTTTTGGTTTCTACCCAAAACTCTTCTACTCTGATCTTCAAACTCTTTAATTTCCCAATCCTGCTAATTCTGATGGTTTTCTGGTTCTTAACTGAGGGTCAATTGATTTGTTTACAAATGTTAACTGGGATGACTTAGATATTATATCTTTGAGGCAGGAGTTAGAACAAATAATACTTTTATTAATAAACCTCCTTAATGACCACTTATGTACCAGTCATAGCTAAATACTTTACATTTATTATTTGACTTAATTTTTACAGCATTGTTATTTTTATGAAGTAGCTATCACTGGTGCTTTTATTTAACAGATAAAGAAAACTTATAATAAGAAAAAACTTAATAACTTGCCCATAGGCTCTGTCTTTGGAGTCCTTCATGGAACATTGTAGAAGTGGCTCTTCTCCATTGGCTCCTCTCCCTGTCCCATAGGACATTCTTAGTTCCAACTTGTATTTGTGAACTCTCACACTTACTTATTGATTCCTCACCCACTTATTGATTCTTTGTTTGTTTAATTCAGACTTCCTTTGACTTTCGGTATTGTCAGGCAAACCTTACTTCTGACTTCTCCCCAAATAACTTCTTACCACTCAATTGTAAGACCACTTCTATAGCTTAGAAAGACTTGCCTGCTCTTAATCTTAGTTAGAAACAGCCATCTTGATGCTTGGATCTTGGAACCTGGATTAGAAAATTTAATCGTTAATAAAATAAGAGTGTGAATACAATTTTCTTTTTTCTTTTTTCTTTTTCTTTTTCTCTCATGGCCTAATGAGGGGAGAGGTAGATAAATGTAACTTTTATGTTATAATTGGACACTGTTTTCAAGGTACAAACACATTTTTCATAAACCTTCTTATAGAAATTCACTAGTGCAATTTTTCCTTATCATTATGATCACAGGGTTAAGGTCAAATTAAATGTAGTTTAAATAAAATATCTTTGCTAATTTAATATCAATTCAAGTTCTATTAATACTCAGATTAAATAGGGACAAAGCCAATAGATATCATATTGATATTTTGACATTTATTGACAGTAAAAGATAATACACACTGTCTTACCTGCAGTAAAATTGGGTATAAAAGTGCATTTTATATAATAGTTGATTAAATATCTTCATCAAACACTAAGAATGCATGATGGGACTTGCTTCAATTTTAATCATATTTTAATATAAGTTAATTTTAAGTTACCTTTCTGTAGCTCTATGATTTCAAAATCATTTTATTAGCTTCTGTTATGCTCATATAAATTGGCCTTTTTTGTAGTAAACACCCAAATAGTCAGTACAATTTAAGACTATTATTTCATGAAATGCCACTATAAAATTTGAGTCGTAGAAATTTTTTTCTTGTTTAATGCACTTAAGCTTTTATACTTCTGATTTCTAATTAAGAAACATATGGTAGAGAAAGAGAGAGAGAGAAAGAGCCAACAGCACCTCTCAGTGGTGTCTTCTATATGTACATTGACATGGGTCAGGCTCAAGATCAGGTCTTCATATTTTAGAGTTCAGAATGCACAGGTCAACAGAACTCTCTACTTAATAATACAAGATGCTCAATTATGTTTTGATTCTTTGCCTTGGTCCAGCAGAAACAGGTTGGAGATCATGTATCAGAGCAAAAGGATGTGGTAGTCATGAAGGATATTTGATAAATCTTTCTCTAAAACTTATCTATCCAGAAAAATTAGTTATGCCATGCAGATCTTGTATATTCCATCATCATCTAAGATCTAGTGAAATAATTACTGGATCTTTTTTGAGACATTTACTAAATGGGTAAGTGTGACTGTTTTCTCTATTGACCTTCTTTTTATGTAGTTCTATTTTTCATAATGACCACTTATACAACTTGCATCCTGGATTATGATGAATAAATTCTACTTCATGAGCTCTTTCTTCCTACCCTTGTATAAAATGCTGCCGTATTCTCATGTTAGTGAAGTAGGTCATATCTCTCATTAGTCACTATTTGTCTTTTGGGTGGCGATTTGTGTAGAGGATTCATAAAGCAAATGTACTTCACAGGCCTTGGTTTCCAAAGCCTTGCAGTTTCAAATATTGACATTGCAAAGGACAGGGAATTTCTCACAGACTATAGTTTCTGTTGTAAGATAAGAATTGTAACACTGCAAGGCTGCTAGTTCAGTGACAGACAGGTTACTAATTAATATGTAAAGTTACTAAAAAGCTGCTGGAGAGAGAAGGAATGTTTGCTAAATCAAGTCTTTGTTAGTGGATCACTTAATTGTCTAATAGAATGTCATCTGACTTGTTTTTACTGAATGTTACCAGCTTCTATTATAAAACTTGTTAAACCGTACTTAGCAAAACCCCACCTATGTCTCTTTCTGTAACTTGATGGTCTGGAGAATAAATGCAGGAAGAGAACCCCAATTCGTGGTTAATTTCCAATGGAGGGAGTGCCTCTCTCTTGAGAGTCCTGGGATATTAACCCCTTTATGGAGTTTCTCACTGCTCAAAAGAGATGGGCTTTGAGTAATCTCTGGCAGCTCCATCACCCAGAGAAAAAGGGGTAACAAATTCGTGGGAGGCAAAGTAATAGACTTGAGATTCATTTCACATCAAATTACTTGATTTAAGAAATTTGAATTTCACGCATGGGGGCTTTCTTAAGAACAGGTACTTTAATTGACTTATTTTATCGATTTATTAGCTTTCCTTTCAGTGGTGATATTTTTTTAAACTTGTCCAAAATTCTGAGGATTGTATCTTGTTGAGAGCTTGCAACTCAATTTTTGCTACCACACAATGCCAAAAATATAATTTATAAAATAATAAAGGAAGTCATATAAATATAAACATTAGTTTCTTAATAAAGGGACTACATTTTCTCATTTAACCATTTTATCTAAAAGTCTTTCAAATCTGTTTGATTTTCAATAATGAGGGGAGACTTCCCACTCAAACTTCCTTGCTATTAGCTGCACACATGGAGACTACAAATGAACGCGGTAATGTTCTTATCACTTAGCTGCTTATATTCTGAAAGGCTCTGAATCAGGTATGATGTGGGTGATATCATATATAAAAGTTTGAAAGAACATCATGCTTATCCAACTTCTTACCTTTTCCTTTCTCTACAGACACATTTTTCTTTAATTGCAAAAGAAACATGATATCTGGAAAATCAATTTTTAAAAATATCTTCAAGGAGCATGGGGGTATGTTCAAATAGCCTATAGATCTGTAGTTATAAATCATTGCAAACCTGTGTCTGGATGTAATTGTTAAGTAAGTGATTGTTGTGGTTGCCTTGCTTTTGCTATGACCACTTTAAAATTCTCAGTGAATAAAAAAAAAATAGAAAAAACAGAAACTTTAGCTTTATTGGTGAATGTTCAGACTGAATGCAGAAAGGTAAACCCAGAGAAAATAATTATGTTATAAATATTTAGGCTATTATGTCATCATCTTAGATATAATGATCTAATTAAATTCTCTTTAGACATTTGTATTAAATTTCTAAAATTCAAATTTTTAAAAATTTTTCATCTTTGGTAATATTTTTATACATCATATTTATATGTCAGTAAATAATTTTCAAGAGTTCAGTTTTTCTGTTATTATGAACTTCAAAATATTTACCTTTAATTATCTTCAAAATGTAAGTCACACTCAATTATCATTCTAGTTTGGGGACCTTTTGAATAGAGAACAGGATTCATGATGTGATGCAGTGTCACCTCTTCCCCAGGGTGACAGAGACTTAAAGGATTACTCAAAGCCCATTTCTTCCTAGCAGTGAGAGGCCCAAAACGGTTACCCCAGGAATAATTCTCTCAAGAGAAGGAAAACTCCAGGGATAGACCCGAATCAGGTTTTCTCTCCTTCCAGGAATAGACCCGAATCAGGTTTTCTCTCCATTTTTATTCTCCAGGCAAGAAAGTTATAGAAAAGTAATGCAGGTGGTTACAAAAGGAACAGAAAGATATTCGTCATGGAAACAATCATTAGGTTTAGCTGCACCAAGGACATCCGCCCTTAGAGCCAGCATTTTTCTGTGTTACAATTTTTTTTTTATCTACAACAGAGACGTCAGTCCTGGAAAAGTTTTCTGTTTTTCCCAGAAAACTTAACATTTCTATGTGCAATTCTAAAAAGTTAGGTTATACCTTAAACTATAGGGCTGTGGCCTTGCTAAAACTACATTTGCTTTATTAATGTTAGTATGCTCAACAATGCGGGAGTGTTGTGGTGGAAATATGTTCTTGTAAGAATTCCTTCCTCTGATATAAAACCCTTTTTCTTTTTTCAGGAAATGACCTTCCAATACTATCACTACCCGTAGCTCCTGGCATTTACACCTGACCAGACTTATAAATCAGTAAGCCCAAAGTGATTAATTCAACAAGAGAGGGGCACTTGTTCCAAGCTAGCATGGAGAATTTGGCTGGGAATATTCATTCAAGATTGCATGCAGAGAGGGTAAGTCTAGATTTTTCTTTCTATGTGGGGTGAGATATATTAGTTAAATATTGCTGCATAACAGTATTACACAAATATAATGGCTTAAAACTGCATATTTTTTTATTCTCACAGTTCGTGTGGGTCAGAAGTTTCAGCCTGGCTTAGCTGAGTCTTCTTCAGAGTCTTACAAGGCTGCAATTATGATATCAGCCAGGCTGCAGTCTCATCTGAGTCTCAGCGAGGGAAGGTTCAGCTTTCAAGCCATTGAAGCATTCTGTTTGTTTGCTTGCTTAAGCAGCATTCAGTACTTAATGGGCTGCCAGACTGAGGGCCTCTGTTTTTTCCTGGCTGTTGGTTGGGGGTTGTCCTTAGCTCTTTGATGTGTCACAGTTCAAAACATGGTAGCTTTTCTCTTCAAAGTCAGCCAAGGAGCGTTTCCTAGGAAGGCAAGAAACAGTCTTGTGTAATGTAATTATGAACATCATGTAATCACGTACATCTGTCACTTTTATTGTATTCTATTGATTTCATTTTTTCTAACACACTGCTAACAGAGATAAATAGTAACTGTTCAATAAGTAGGAGGCATATTTGATAAAATGACACCATATTCAGGGTGTGGATTTAAAGAAATGAAGCATCACTACCCTGGGAAATCTTTTCTTCTTATTCTTCTTACTGCAGTAAAAGTCATCATAATCCATCCAGTTGCTCATGACAGAAACCAGTTATGTCGCTGGTACTTTCTATTACCTAATTCCCCTATTTCTTTTTTGTCTTTTTTCGTGTCCGGCAATGGAACGCGACCCTCAGTGTCGTGCCCATACCGGACCGGGACCGGCAACGGGATCGCAACCCTCGGTGTTGCGCCCGCACCTCGCTCAGCCAGTGAGCAGGAACTGGTCTGTATGTGGGATCCGAACCCTCGGCGGGAGCGCCGCCATGCTTCCCAAGCGGGGCACTGTAGCAGTGCGCCACCGGGCCTTCCGAATTCCCCTATTTCTAATGAACCTTTGAGTTCTGTGAGTCTGATTCTTAAATGCGCTTACTCCATCTTTGAAGCCATTTCCTTAATCAAGGCCAGTATTATAACTTACATGGCAATGTTATACTGTCCTCCTGCTTTGTTCTCTTGCTTCCCTCCATGCTAGTCTAATTCTTTTTTGTTTATTTACCATAGGCCATTTGTTTGTTTATTTGTTTGTTTATTGCTGTTTTTTCATTGCACAATGTAATCTAATTTTTTAAAAAGTTTTACTGCAATCCTGTCACTGTCTTGCATAAAATATGTCAATACTTTTTCCATCGTTCATAACATAAAATTCTACATTACCAATATGGTCTAAAACTCTCTATACAAATCTGCTCCGTAACTATCGTTCTAGGCTTGATGGACTTCTTTCAGTTTCTCCATCTTGCAAACTCTTTCTGCTTTAAAGGCCTTACCAAGTTCTGCTTTCTTTGGCTGAAACACTCTCTTCTCCTTTATTCCTACTCATCTTTCATGAGTAAACTTCTTAAGATTGGGGAACAAGCAAACAGTATAGGGAGAGAGTAAAGTTGGTAGAAGGGAAATGAAAATATTTGAGCAATTGGTGAAAAGAAGTTGGCAGTTTATGGACTATCTATGAAATACAAAAAATATGAGAGAAAAAGCATAGATTTGATGTCACCCTACTTACGTATATTCTCTCTGACTTCCACCTATCACAAATTATCACTTATTGCATGTTTGTATACATTAAAATATTAGAGAAGAAATATTCAGCAAAGAGTGGTACCAAAGAGATATTTTAAACCTCAGTCTCAATTAATGAAGAAATTCAGCAAAATAAACAGAGTGGTAGTACTTGAGTCAATGTGTATTTTTTCCTCAAATGTGTTTGTCTGAGGACCAATAGCTGTGCTATTCAATATGGTAGACACTGGCCACATGAAGCTGTTTGAAAATGGAAATCAACTGACCATTATTTCCTTGTTAGTGGTATTTCTTTTAGCTGTACTATGTACCTATCTCTGAAAAGCTTTTCTCATACTGCGTTTTCTCAGACAGCACATTTGTAAATATGGACTATGATTCTGTAATGACAGTGAGCACTGTTTTTCAACTTACCTAACACAAAGTGAGGGACGTAGTTTATACTTAATTCATGTGTCGAATAAATAAATTAATGGTCAACTGAATTAAAATAGTTGGGTATTTTAGTTTATCATTAGAGTTAAGCAAAAATAACCATTGTCTCAAGCCATTTATAGACATAGACAAATAAATAGAAACAGAGAAGCAAAAGTAGAGGAATTTAGAGAGATTATAGAGACAGTGAAAGAAATAGAAACTTCAAAGTAAAAGAGATAAAAAGTGTGAACTTGAGATTGAGGAATAGGTATGGAAGATGCAAAGAAAAATTCAAAAGCAATGTAAAATACATAGTCCCAGGAGAAACTGATTAAGAAGAGGTTAATTAGAGTGAGATAAGTAATACTGATAATAACAGCTGTCATTCTCCTTGATATTCAAAAGCCAAACAACTGCTTTATCTTCATTAAGATACCCAGCAGCCCTGCTTCATTCAGCATTTCAGAAATATCTTGAAATTAAATTAATCATTCTGAACATTTTCCTATCAAGTCAAATTTGGTTTCAGGGTTTATTTGAGTATGTATAATTTATAATTAAAGCCCAAAAGGTGCAAAATATCTTTAAATATGAAGAAAATTAGCACTATTAATAGCTCTTCAATTTTCAAAGGTTTCATGCTGGATGATATAACCTTAATAGTCTAATTTGGAGGAAATGATTTTGTGGATTATATCCTGTAGTGAGCTCATAATGCTTAACAAATGGCTACCAGGGGAAGGTGAGAAGGGCCTGGTTTGTAGCATTTGCCAATTTCTGTGATGTAAATACTCCCACCAAGGCCAATTTCAAGGTACAAATATGATATCACTGAATGTGGATTTTGGGAGAGATGCACATAATTAATTCTCGCAGCATACAACTGATAGCATCGTTTTGGATACTTGATAAGCATGAAATACTGGTAATTACTATAACCAATTTCTAATTGGACTTGTCAACACTCTTCAGTTGCAAGTGGCATAAACCCAACTTAAATGACTTTAGGTTGGTTCTTAAGCAAATTGTTCTTTCTTCACATAATTGGGAAGGTTAAGGTGTAAGGCTGATGCTGATGTGGTGAGTTCCAGGGGTTCAGATGATCTAAGCTCTCATTGCCTTTCTGTTCATACCTTATGTGACCACATCCTCAGTTCTCCCTCACAAAGGGACCATCTGCATTCAAAAAGCTTGTGCTCTGGTAATGGAGACAGATACATATATCAATATACTAATGGAGAAAAAGTATAAATCACAGGAAAAAAGAAAAAAAAAGTGTTAACCAGCATTATATTTTTCATAATACATATAACACAATTTTGATTATATATATTTTCTAATATCCCAAATGTAGATTATAAATTCCTTGAGACATATGTCATATTTTAAACTTTATTCCTTTGTGACTATAGACATTTGGATGAAAATTGAAGACCTCATCATTTTGGTATTTGCTACAATAACTTAGAAGGTGGCCTGATTTCAATACTGCCCGATTATCAAAAAATTCATTGTTGACCTTTTGGAGTCATATTTTATTATGTGGAAAGCTCATTTTTGGGGGTCGGCCTCTGAAATATGTAATATCAACAGTATTCAATCATGTGAGAAAAAAAATAAAATGGTGTGATAATATCAAAAAATTCATTGTTGACCTTTTGGAGTCATATTTTATTATGTGGAAAGCTCATTTTTTGGGGTCGGCCTCTGAAATATGTAATATCAACAGTATTCAATCATGTGAGAAAAAAAATAAAATGGTGTGATAATTCCTGAAATATTTTCCTGCATCTCTTATATTTCTCTTTGAGATTAGAACTTTCTTTGCTTATAAGCATTGGCTTCTTTTTTGTTTGGTTTGGTTTGATTTTTCCCTCAAAATGCTTTGGGTTGGACAAGATGACATGTCTGATGTGGCTAATGCTCAATAATTTTAGTTTGTTGATACTCTGAAACACCTAAAAGGTATATAAAAGCAATTTTGGTGGGTTTTTTTATTTGCAGTTTCCTTTGGAGTTTTATTGTAACTCTATTGTAGTGGTATTCAGTTGTCTCGGTCAGAATAAAGTTGTTAAAAATAAAGTATGAATTTGGACTCAATAATAAACTTTTCAACTTTCACCTTGTAGGAAATTCTAAAATTAATGTGCTCAGTTTGGGAGAAGGAAAAAAAACAACAACAACTCACATTTCAATGAAGTTACATTCAGAAATAATGACATGTTACAATCTAGTTTTCCAAATAGATGCAAAGTTCATCTTGAGGCTACTTTGCACTATTGGATAATAAAAAAATATATAACTTATTTTGGATCAAAGTAATTTTTCACCTTGTGAGTATTTAACATTTGTTCAAGTGTAGCTGTTCTGAATCTCTGATTGTGACTAGTGTCAATTACTTTCATTTCTTGCAGTATAACATTTAAAGTGAGTATCAGTGATTCTCAAACGCTTGTATATGCAGAACTTATACTTCAGTGACAAATGAGATGTCAAAAATATCTGATATATAAAAGAAAAATAAACACTTAATAAAAAGAGGAATAGAGGGAACACTTAAAAAAGGGAGCTCCCTTTAAACTTGAATAACGTTTTAGAATTTGAATTTCATTTGACACATTATACTTTAATTTTTTTGAAAAGAGTAAAAAACGTTTAGATACCTATAAAATTGGGGGTGAAGGGGAATCTCTATGAAACTCTCATACTGCTGCATATCTTTTAAGCAAGGCGCTGACTGTCTTTTGTTCCTTACTATCATTTGCTTTATACCAAACTGTCTTAGAAGATAGAGATAGTATATTGTTTTGGAGCAAAAGGCAAACACACTTACTGTCCAATACAATAATGACAATGCCTCCCTCCAGAACAAATACTTCATAGTTCTTGACAATAGATGATT